TGTGTGTCATTGTGTGTGTCAGTGTCTGTATCTATGTATCTGCATGTGTGGCAGTGGATGTATCCGTGTTTCAGGGTATGTATCTTATTGTCAGGGTATGTATATGTGTGCCAGGGATATGTTTGTGTATCTGCATGTTTATCAATGTGTGTGTCAGTGTGTGTGTCTGTGTATTTGCATGTGTGCGTGTGTAGCTGCATGTGTGTCTGTGTATCTGCATGCGTCCCTGAGTATCTGCATTTGTGTCAGAGTGTGTTTCTCTATGTCAGTGTGTCTATTTTTGTGTCGGGATATGTGTAAGGGTATGTGTCTGTGTTTGTGTCAGTGTATGTATCTATGTGTCTGAGTATCTGCATGTATGTCAGGATGTGTATCTGTGTGTCAGGGTACGTATCCTTAAGTGTGTCAAGGTAATTATCTGTGTGTCTGTATGTCAGGGTATGTATATATGTGTCTGTGTATCTGCATGTTTGTCAGTATATGTGTCTGTGTGTCATAGTGTGTATCTGTGTGTCAATGTGTCTATCTGTGTGTCAGGGTATGTATCTGTGTGTCAGGGTATGTATCCTTAAGTGTGTCAGTGTATTTATCTATGCGTGTCAGGGTATGCATCTATATATGTGTGTCAGGGTATGTATCTAAATGTGTGTCAGTGCCTATATCTGTGTCAAGGTATGTATCTGCATGTGTGTCAGTGCCTATATATGTGCCAGTGTCTGTATCTGCATGTCTGTCAGTGCCTATTTCTGCGTCAGTGTCTGTATCTGCATGTGTCTCACTGTATCTGTGTATCGGTGTTTGTATATGTATGTCAGTGTGGGTATCTTTGTCTGTATGTGTGTCAGTGTATGGATCTGTGTGTCAGGATATATATCTGTGTATCTGCATGTGTGTCAGTGTATGTATCTGTGTAAGGTTATGTATCTGTGTGTCAGTGTGTGTGTCTGTGTATATGCATGTGTATCAGTGTTTTATTCTGTCTGTATCTGTATGTGTGTCAGTGTTTGTATCTGTATGTTGTGTATCATTGTATCTGTGTGTCTGTACATTTGTATGTATGTCAATGTGCATATCTGCGGGTGTGTCTGTGTGTCTGTATCTATATGTGAGTCAGTGTTTGTTTCTGTGTGTCTTCATGTGTGACACTGTGTGTCTGGGGCAGAGAAGAAGCAGGGAGAGTCTGGAGCCGAGAAAGAGCAGGGAAAGTCTGGGGCAGAGGAGAAGCAGGGAGCGTCTGGAGCGGAGGAGAGGCACAGAGGGTCTGGGGCGGAGGAGCAGCAGGAAGAGCATGGGGCACAGGAGAAGCAGGGGGAGCCTAGGGCAGAGAAAAGGGGGATATTGAACAGAGAAAAATGTATACATTTGAAATAAATGCAACTATATTAATTACAACATTTTGCTAATGTGAGGGGTACAATTTATGGATATGGGCTACCAAAGGGTACTCAAGTGAAAAAAGGTTGGGAACCACTGTGCTAGAGTATATAGCATTGTGGTCTATGGATGGTCTTACGGGACTGCAGAAGCTAAAACATACCTGTGTTCCAGCACTGAACCAAGTTCTCCTAACAGCCTGATTCTCCTCCGGTGATGTCATTTCTTCTACAGGGATGTCAGAGAGGATTGGCTGAGACATGACTTGGATGACTTGAGGGAAAGGTGGCGCTATTGGACTCCTGTCGCCAGCATGCTGTGTGTGCTAATGACAGGCGTCCAATGTTCACAGTAGTTACAAGTTACCATCTTGGTAGAAAAGGGCTGGATCTTTGTATGTGCCATGTCTCGTAGTGAAACATTGCACATACAGACTAAGCACCATGTCTACTTCACATCACTGAAGCTCCCAATGCTTGGAGTTACCGTTTATGTGCCTTTACATGAAAAATTATTGCTCTAAACATATTTGTAACATTTAGGCCAAAATAATATAATTTGAAAAAGAAAACGGAGTTGGTGAATTTTTGCAACTTGGCTTTTATTTTCATTGTTTACTGAATAGATTCCTCAAATATTCACTTTACACCATCAACACTTCAGTTTGTTCAAAGAAGGAGTTCAGAATATTAGGCAGGGGATATTCACAAACCTGCAGCTCTTGGCGTGCCATAACTCCCATGAATCTTTGCCATGGAAACTGGAAATAAACAAACTGCTGCACTAATCAACAATGACTTAGTGTAGTACAGGTACTGCAGGCATCCTACATAAGGGAGCGAATGGGCACAATAAATGCTAGGGGCTGTGTGCCACAAAGTGTATTACTTATTGACAAACAGTGTGCGAAACATCTGCTGAATATTGAGACATTGAGAATGTTGTGCCCCAGACACACAAACTGTCTCACAGACAATCCACCTTTTCTTTGTAATAAAATGAGCAATATGTTTGATACGTCTAGAGGAAATTTGCAGCAATAATTAGCAGTTGTATGTTTAGATGGACAGTCTGGAGCACAAACCCACATATCCCTAATATTAACAAGAGAGTTATCAGTGGGAGTTATTTGGGGCATTTCATTCTGTGGGATGGCATCCTGATTTAGGTGAGGATATTCTATTCCATGGGATAGTATTATTTTCTATGTATTGGCATTTAATTATATGTGATAGCATTTTATTCGCTGAGGTGGCATTCTATTCTATGAGATAGTATTCCATTCTATGGGACAGCGTTCTAATCTATGGGACAGCGTTCTATTCTATGAGATAGTATTCCATTCTATGAGATAGTATTCCATTCTATGAGACAGCGTTCTATTCTATGAGATAGCGTTCTATTCTATGAGATAGTATTCCATTCTATGAGACAGCGTTCTATTCTATGAGATAGTATTCCATTCTATGAAACAGCGTTCTATTCTATGAGATAGTATTCCATTCTATGGGACAGCGTTCTATTCTATGAGACAGTGTTCTGTTCTATGAGATAGTATTCCATTCTATGAGACAGCGTTCTATTCTATGAGATAGTGTTCCATTCTATGAGACAGCGTTCTATTCTATGAGATAGTATTCCATTCTATGAGACAGCGTTCTATTCTATGAGACAGCGTTCTATTCTATGAGATAGTACTCCATTCTATGAGACAGCGTTCTATTCTATGAGATAGTATTCCATTCTATGGGACAGCATTCTATTCTATGAGATAGTATTCCATTCTATGGGACAGCGTTCTATTCTATGAGATAGTATTCCATTCTATGAGATAGTATTCCATTCTATGGGACAGCATTCTATTCTATGAGATAGTATTCCTTTCTATAGGACAGCATTCTATTCTATGGGACAGCGTTCTATTCTATGAGACAGCGTTCTATTCTATGAGATAGTATTCCATTCTATAGGACAGCGTTCTATTCTATGAGATAGTATTCCATTCTATAGGACAGCGTTATATTCTATGATATCGTTTTCCATTCTATGAGAGAGTATTCCATTCTGTAGGACAGCGTTCTATTCTATGAGATAGTATTCCATTCTATGAGATAGTATTCCTTTCTGTAGGACAGCGTTCTATTCTATGAGATAGTATTCCATTCTATAGGACAGCTTTCTATTCTATGAGATAGTATTCCATTCTATAGGACAGCATTCTAATCTATGGGACAGCGTTCTATTCTATGAGATAGTATTCCATTCTATGAGATAGTATTCCATTCTATGAGACAGCATTCTATTCTATGAGATAGTATTCCATTCTATGAGACAGCGTTCTATTCTATGAGATAGTATTCCATTCTATGAAACAGCGTTCTATTCTATGAGATAGTATTCCATTCTATGAGACAGCGTTCTATTCTATGAGATAGTATTCCATTCTATGAAACAGCGTTCTATTCTATGAGATAGTATTCCATTCTATGGGACAGCGTTCTATTCTATGAGACAGTGTTCTGTTCTATGAGATAGTATTCCATTCTATGAGACAGCGTTCTATTCTATGAGATAGTGTTCCATTCTATGAGACAGCGTTCTATTCTATGAGATAGTATTCCATTCTATGAGACAGCGTTCTATTCTATGAGATAGTACTCCATTCTATGAGACAGCGTTCTATTCTATGAGATAGTATTCCATTCTATGGGACAGCATTCTATTCTATGAGATAGTATTCCATTCTATGGGACAGCGTTCTATTCTATGAGATAGTATTCCATTCTATGAGATAGTATTCCATTCTATGGGACAGCATTCTATTCTATGAGATAGTATTCCTTTCTATAGGACAGCATTCTATTCTATGGGACAGCGTTCTATTCTATGAGACAGCGTTCTATTCTATGAGATAGTATTCCATTCTATAGGACAGCGTTCTATTCTATGAGATAATATTCCATTCTATAGGACAGCGTTATATTCTATGATATCGTTTTTCATTCTATGAGAGAGTATTCCATTCTGTAGGACAGCGTTCTATTCTATGAGATAGTATTCCATTCTATAGGACAGCTTTCTATTCTATGAGATAGTATTCCATTCTATATGACAGCATTCTATTCTATGAGATAGTATTCCATTCTATGAGACAGCGTTCTATTCTATGAGATAGTATTCCATTCTATGAGACAGCGTTCTATTCTATGAGATAGTATTCCATTCTATAGGACAGCGTTCTATTCTATGTAAATCGAATTCCATCCATTGTACACAAACTCATGCTTCGTGCAAGGTGCATTCACACAGTCAGTACCCATGGCTGGGGTGCCCTCCCTGTCTCCCCACGCCGCAGATTTTACTCAGCTAACAATCACGTGTCGCTTCAAGGGCCACGTGGATTAACAAATCTGTGTCCCCTGCCTCCCCCTGTCTCTGCCCCATCTCCACGTTACCATTTCTTTATTTCTGTTGTTTTATCGGCCCTCCCTCCCCATTCTCCCGTGCCTAATCCCCCACCACAGGAGCTCAATGCAGAGACTGATCAGTGAGCGCTTTATAAGCCTGTGATAGAGAGAGTGGCTGCACTCTGCCTGGCAGCCGAGGAAGACACCGCTCGTAACAGCATGGACATGGCAGCTTTTGGGTCCCCTTCCAAGATCTCCCTGAGGACGTCAGCCAAAATCAAAGACAGAAGAGTGAGTGTCCGAACAGAGACTCCCAGCACAATACATATAGCACTCAGTGGATTGTAATATGATTGAAGAAGTGGCATATTCTGTGTACTTGCAGTGCAGACATTGCATTACATTACACAGGGGCATTCCTGCTAATGTGACTTGGTCTGAACTGGGTGTTTGGGTGGGAGATTGATTGACACTGTCCATGGTGCTTGCTTCCTGTCTATTAGTGTGCATTAAAAGGTTGTGTGTCTGTGTTTGCAGAGAGCACCGGTGTCGCATAAAGTGATTGAAAAAAGGAGACGAGACAGAATAAATCGCTGTCTTAGTGAACTTGGAAAAACGGTGCCTATGGCATTAGCAAAACAGGTTAGTAGAATGTGACATGTATTGAATCTGTCTACATAGAGTAAATATCAAATATGAAGCTGTCTGTATGTTCTAAAAATGTATACAAACGCACGTGTTCTCCAAGAGCAGCTAACATTGAGGAATCTGGTGGGATATTGCAAATTATGGGAGAAATATCCTCTTTCTTTTCCAGCTAAAATATTTTTCTATCATTCCTAAAAAGGAAGAAACTTTTTTTTACTGCAAATTCCTTACTATTTTAACCTCTGAAGGACCAATTCCATCATGTCATTCTAACCTTTAAAGATATTGTATTAAATATTAATGTCCCACTCATCTAAAGGCAGCAGGTCTGTGTAGTACAAATAAACAGAACAATCCTTAATTTTCTGGGGTGTTTTGGGACCAGATAGTGAGTACAGCATTAAATATCATTGGCTGCTCACGTTAACTGGCATAATAATACATCTCTCCCAGTAATTAGTGGCCAAGTGTTGAGGCCATAACTGAAGGTCACAGGTTGTTGCTTGCTACAGGTAAAGGGACTTGCCAACTTGTGCAACATTGTAATGTAGTATATGTGAGCCTTGGGTACACATACAGTGTGAATACTGCCTGACTTAATACAATCACTGTGATGGATGTGAAATGAATAGCAGTTTCTATTTACAGAATACAGGTAAACTGGAAAAGGCTGAGATTTTGGAGATGACTGTTCAGTATCTGAGAGCTTTACACGCTTCTGACTTTCCCAGAGGACGAGATAAAGGTAAGCAGTATTTAGGGTGATTTTACCCATACTGAAGACCAATTGGTCAGGGAGATTAACACAGATAATATTAAGATATGCCATTAGGCACAAAACCCATTAACCATTTCACTCGTTTATAGATACTTCTTGTACTAGCGAAGCTGTTAATGGTGTTCAGCCAGATAGGCTTGCTTGCTATAATTTAAGATTCTAATGACTTTATGATACTGAGACCAAATGTTATATACAGTTCTAAATTTCTGCAATCCATGATGCCAATTCCTTATTTAAATGGCTGTATCGATTTCAGCTTCCGTCTTTGTAGAGTGGATTTTGTGCGTTACATACACAGAATATTTTGTAATGTACAATTAGTTATGTGATTATCAAAGATAATTAGGAGAACGAGTGTAATATGATCAAATGAGGCTGAAAGCCCCTGGGGGCATGAACCCAGCTAGAACAAACAATTATATGTATAAGAGCATAAGAATCCCAGCGTTTGTTATAAAGAACATTTTTAAATAGTTAAAATATAACTTTCATTGTCTATAAAAATAAAATACGAAACATACAATCTGAAGTTAAATATCACCCAGTTCCAGGATGAGCATTATTAACAAATACACTTGATAATTTAAATCACTCAATGGTCTCCATACCTGTTTGAAATTACAGGGCATACATATAACCTCTGTTAGTATTGTTGTTTGAATGATTGAAGCACACTTAGTCACTTGTGGGAAAACAGGTATGGAATCAAAAACTGTGGTAGTTTAACACAAACATAAAAAAGATAACTAAGGGAGAGGGAGCTCCTCTATAGACTCATCTTGTGCCTTCGAGGGCACCTGATCTCAGAACCCACCTTCCCTAGTTCCTGGCTCTATCCTGATGCAATTAGTTATGTGTTTTATGTACGCACACTGTTCATACTGTATGTAAGTCTGTGTGTTTGTGTTTACTTCCTGATAATCCCAAGCTAACTCACATTTCATGCATTCTTGTGGAGCTTTGCAGTATATTTAATAAATGGAACTATAATGATCTAATCAAGATTTTTATTATTTCTTTTTGCATTTCAATAGATCTTCTTTCAGAGTTTGCCAATTATTTCCACTATGGTTACCATGAATGCATGAAAAATCTGGTCCACTATCTGACCACAGTAGAAAGGATGGAAACTAAAGACACTAAGTACGCTCGAATTGTTGCCTTCCTGCAATCTAAAGCCCATTTGACCACTGAGCCCCTCTTCAGCTCTCTGCAGGAGGCGGATGTGTCCTGTCAGCTGCATTCATCTCCGCCTGACTACGCCAGCCCGTGTGACTCTACCTTCACTACAAGCCCAAGCGGCCCATTCTCATGGCATAGCACAGCTAGGAGCCCCACTCTGAATTATCTCACAGGCCCCGCTTCAATGCCACTGCCATGCACTCCTACCCAGCAGCCACCTCACAGCAGCTTTTTGTCCCCCATGCAGAGTCTGGACAGACACTACGTCAGCCTGCTTGGACATTCCCATCCAAACAGCTTTAGCATGCACGCTGCACAGCACCCCTCAGTGCTGTGATCTCTCCCTTGTCAGTGACATACAAAAATGCTTCCTTTCTCGGTGGATTCACCAGAGGAATCTGTGCTTAAACTAATTCCATATGTTACGAAAAAAAAAGTATAGAATTTGCTGCAGAAAATCCTTAGACCTGATCAGCGGTCTACAGAAAATGAATCTGCTGTGGATTTCAAGTTTTATCTTGCCAAACACCAGTGTAAGCTCAAAAACATCCGTTTTCACCAAAACTAATTTGTGCATGACTTTTGAGTATATGGACTATGATGTGTGTAAATTATTATATATGTAATAACTATTTGGCAAAGTACAGAACGAAGGCTGTGTAGCTCACATTTTCTGTTAAGGGAAGATATTGATCAAGAAAACATACAAAAACTCATTGTGTTGTATTTTTAAAAAATGTATTATCTTTTGTTCATTTTTTTTGTGCTTCATACGTTTTGTTTTGTTTTTAAAATTTATTCTGGTATCTTTTTAGATAATACTTAAAATTCGAAGCAGATACTACTTAGATATACTAGGATTTATTCACCATGGAATTTCAAGTTCTAAGCCAAATAGCTGAACTGGAATTTAAGCAGAGTGAGAAAATGTTTATGTTTAAAGCTTACAATTCCCTTGTCAGTATTTCATAATTCACAGTTTATTAATTCCATTGGAGTTACTGTTATCCCTGTTTGAAGATGTTAAATCTTGGAATCCCTAAGGGTACTTCACATACCTTCTTACAATCAGTGAATAAAGGTGTTATGGCACTTAAGAAGCTAATAGAACTGTGTACATCACTGACTTTCCCAATCTGACCTGCCACTCAGCATTGGTTCCGCTGCAGTTCATGGCAAGGCAGAAGAACGTCATAGGTTTTTGTAAATATCTAGAAAGATTGTGACATGGGCATTAATTTATTATTATTATTATTTTTTTTTTTAATAACGACAACTTGAACTTTTTTTTATCAAATTAGATTTATTTATTTACTGTACAATTTGTAATAAATGTTTATGTTCTTAATGTGTCTGGAATTTGTCTTGCTTTAATTGCTGTTCCATAATCGTGCAGAGTTTGGCAGTAATCTAATCTGATTTGATGTGATCCATGTTTTGGTTCATTAAGCTATTAGGCAGAACAGTGACTATAAGCATGTACTCAAAAATTAAATATTCAGATCTACATTGTGACTTCACATATATGTAAGAAACATCCAATCTAGGGTTTACAGCTCATATTCCTGCACTTATCACCTAATAACACTGTATAAAGTCTCTTGTGACATCGCTGTGGTTATTAGGGGTTTGTCGAAAGCTGCAGTGGGATTTCTGTTGTAAAGATTGGTCAAGGTAAATGCTGTTGCATTATTGTGTATTAACAAAGCATTTCAAGGGAAGAATTGTATTGACCCATCGGATACATAACCAACTAGAGAATCTAAATTCAGTTACTTCCTGGAGACACATGTAAATGAAAAACCAAATATAAACCTGTGTTTCCAATAAGCTGACCTTCCTTGGTCATATACTCGCACCATACAGAACAGTATAAACTGGCAGGTAGGTGGACAGCGCTGGGCCCAGCAAAACCTGATCTAACAGGAAGACTGCCCTCCAGCAATAATATGATAGTAGGTGAAATACACAATAATAACATGGAAAACTAAATTCTAGCAAACTAAAGGAAAACTACAGCGGTTTTAAATGCCATGAAGCTGGTGGAGGACACTATTTAAAACATCCCTTGTTACCAGTCATATAATTGATAAACACTTAATTTATGCAACACATTACAAGTATTTTAACCCCTTCAGGACAGAGTCAATAGTGCACGTTCTGATCAAAACAAAACGTAAACAAAAACTGGAATTTGCGCTATATGTCTGTTCAACCGTAATTCACCGCTGTCACATTAAGTGCACCCACACTTATTATATATCATTTTGTTCAGGAGAAACAGGGCTTTACTTTATCATTAACTATTCATATATGGAACATAATTTATTATGAATAACATTTTAAAAAAATGTGAGAAAATAAGATTTATTTTTTTTAATTTGTATTTCCGTCTGACAGTTTAGCTGTGAATGTCATAATACAGTTAGGTTTTACTGCAAAAAAATGCACATATTTGTAATCAGCGATGTCTCACAAGTACAACAGTACCCCCCATTAACAGGTTTTATGGTGTTTTGGAAAGTTACAGGGTCAAATATAGAATGTTCCATTTTCAAATTTAAATTTGCCAGATTAGTAATGTTACCTTTGAGATGGTGTGGTAGCCCAGGAATGAGAATTACCTCCATAATGGCATACCATTTGAAAAAGTAGACAACCCAAGGTATTGAAAGTTGGGTATGTTTAGTCTTTTTTAGTAGCCACTGTCACAAACACGGTTAGCGTTCATATTTATTTTTGTGTGAAAAAAGCAAAAAACTAATATTTGGCCAGTGTTTGTGACTAAGTGGCTACTAAGAAAGATTGGACATACCCCTCTTGCAATACCTTGGGTTGTCTACTTTTGCAAATGGTATGCCATCATGGGGGTAATTCTCATTCCTGGGCTACCATACGCTTTCAAAGGCAACATAACCAATCTGGCAAATTTCAATGTAAAAAAATGAAATGCAAGCCTTATATGTGACTCTTTAACTTTCCAAAACACAATAAAACCTGTACATGGGGGGTACTGTTATTCTCGGGAGACTTCACTAAACACAAATATTAGTGTTTTAAAACAGTAAAACATATTACAACAATAATATAGTCCATAAAAGTGCTGTTTGTTTGTAAAAAATGCAAAAAACTTAACTTTTACTTAAAATATCATTGTTGTAATACAATTTACCAGTTTGAAACACTAATATTTGAGTTCAGCGAAGTCTCCTGAGTAAAACAGTACCCCCTATGTACAGGTTTTTTGGTGTCTTGGAGAGTTACAGGGTCAAATATAGTGCTTGCGAATTAAATTCTCTGCACTTTCTCCCTGTGTTGTCAGGCATGTCAATCAAATTTTAATTAATCAAATCACATAATTATGTTAAAAGATTACTTAAATATACACGTAGAATTTTAATATATATGCATTTATAGGTATTTCAATTCTACGTGTATACTAATGTAATCTTTTATGTAATTATATGTATTTATCCCTCTCTCTCTCTCTCTCTATATATATATATATACATATATATATATATTTGCGGTTATTTGTATTTTATATATAGATAGATATATATAGAATGTCATTCTAAGTGTATTTTGTTACTAATATATCTATATTAATAAAATACAGTTAGAATGAAATTACATATGAATATATAATAAAATTTTTGTTTCAATATTTTATTAATTTTATTATTTTATTTATTTATTATTGTAATTATACGTATATATATATATATAATATATAATATATAATATATAAGATACATATTATATATATGTAAAGTCATTATAAGTGTATTTTAATACTAATATATGTGCTTACATTAATATTAAAATACACTATGTATGAAGTTACATATATGTCATATGTATATATATATATATAATATATATACATATATTATATATTTATAAATATATTTATTTTATTTTATAACATGTTTAATTTTTTTTAAACTTTCCCACCAGCAGGGGGACTGTCTGACATTTCAGACAGTCCCCCTGCTGGCAGATCCTCAGGGGGCCTCATTTGCCATGGGAGGGCTGCCTGGGCTGTGAGGCAGTCCTCCCGAAGCGGAGCGCCGAGTAGGTAAGTATCCCGGGCGCTCCAGGGCTCAAAGCCGTTACGGCATTCTATGCCGCCGCAACGGCTTTAAAGCCCACTTATTGCGGGATGGCATAGAATGCCGTAACAGCGTTTAGGGGTTAATACCGAGCACAATGTGACTGGACTATTTGTAACTCTCCAGAATATCATCATACATTCCTTATTAATTACATTTTCTTCTTCACAAATGAGTTCCCAGGATTACTTGGGATGATGGAGCTGCAGATCCAGTGCCATACAGTTAAAAATAAACATTTGTTCCGCCATATTAAGTTCGCATTACTGATGTCAAGGCATTAGTCATGCAAACATACATAGCTCAGTGGGCTCATGCATTATCAGTAGAATCTCTTCAATCATTGGGTGGCAGGTCCAGTTCCCAGCAGGTTCATCCTTCCGAGGTAGATAAAATGAGTACCATTATATTTGGTAATAGTAACAACCCCTCGATGTTGGGTCAAGGTAACCAGAGTAATTTGAATGTGCCTTTCCTGGTTAAATACTTTGTTATTAATATGGTAGAAATAGTCACTAGAGCCCAAGGAACATTTTGATACAATTCTGTTTTGTAATGAGTTGGACCTTCGGACTATTCTATATAGGGCACCACAATTCTGGGAAATCATGTTTGTGAAATTCTACCAGAATGTCTAGATGACATGCACATGAGCAAAGCCAAGCATTACATTTCAGACTTTAATTCTGCAGACACACTTCTGTAAACTTGTGCAATGGAGCACTGTTCTAAGCACAGCTTTTTAAACCACTATGAGTTTTGATCCACAAGGAACAATGAACCAGCTCTATGCTTAATACACCTAAACGCTGAAGCTTTCTAGTCATTGGTCATTCTGCCTAATATGGGTAGAAAGATTTGTAGCTTGGTCTTTGCCATATGACGTTTTAGTTGCCAATGAGCCATCCAGAAAGCTGTAACAGTAAAGCATACTGATTGGAAACCTAAAATTTTAAAGCGTTAATCCAAGCACCATGGTCAGTTCAATGCTATGAAGTGATCATGGTTCCTGGAGTCTATCTGTGCAGCGTCTCACTTTGAAACTCTGCACTTAAGGAGTTTAACTAATTTGTTGCTGAATGTTTAACTCCACCTCTGGCTGCGTCATTACCCACCAGACTGGCTTATGTCAATTCTGTGCATATTCCTACGCACGGACTTGCATACGTTGTCTGTGATCTTCTCAGCCATCGAATGGCCCGCGGGATTGACTTTCGACTTCAGCAGCTCTACAGAAGCCGCATGTCATCATTGGACCACCAGGGACCCAGGTAAAGGGTAAACTTACTGTACTGGTAAATGGGGCTAAAGTACTCCTGGCATCATACTGCGGGCTGTAGTGATTATGATGCTTGGAGAAACCATGTAACTGGACTATCTTTTAGAATGTTGAAAGATTGATCTGACGGCCAATCATGTTATTAGCATTCTCAGGGAAAGCATATTTAGAGAGATAGTAAAAATCATAACTGAAACCATTAATGAGCTCAGCTGTCTATGGGGTCTCGTATCTTCCGTGTAGTAATGCAGTTAGATAAGTAAATATGCATCTATTAACTGGTCCACACTGCATACCTAGGCATTACTGGGCTATCAGAAAGTCATGAGATTACATGGACATTCAGCTACAGGTCATAAGCATGCTGTGCTCCTATTAAAATCAATCTGCCTTTCCACTAAGTGAAATAGCTTCTGCTCTTTGGCCCAAAGTCAAGTTTGTGACCAAATGTTAATTTGTGAAGATTTTATCAAACTATGATACTCTGCTAATTAATTACAAGCTGACCTGCAGAGATACTGATACTAAGTAAGCAGGATATTCAGTGCTCTGAAGAGTCTTTAAGGGCTAGATTGTGATAATGAGAATGAGTGTCATTAAGAGGTTAAAAAAATGTAAGGTCCAAATAACAAAATGAAACCGTAATGCCGTAAAATGTACGAGTTTATATTTCCATATTCTCTTTCCTTACAATTTGTGAAATGGGTAAATTTCCAATCGCTCTGCATAGTATTAGTAAAATTAAACCCAAAATGCGACCAGTGGTTATTTTTTTAGCCAAGTTGTGATAAAGGCTGTGAATAGGGCAATCCGCTGTTTCTTGGTCTTCACCCTTGAGTAGGCAAGAATAAATACAATCATCCCCATGAAATCAAAGGTTCTACACTGGTCTGAGGAACAAAGATATTTGGCTCCCTTTGCGCTGACTAAAAGTCTTGGGTCTGGATAGGACTCCCTCCTTTCCTTAATACAGAGCTCACTTGTGCTCCCAAGCGTTATTGAACAAACAGATCACCAAGCCGCAGTCACACTGCCACACTCTATTCCAAAGCCACTGGGACCCTAAATAGAATGGGCTGTGCAGGTGCCTTCATGACAGCTGTCTGCAGTGCAAGGAAGATGCACTAATCTCAGCTCTGACCAAAAGGGAACATGTAAAAGAAAGGCTAGTTAAAGTACGTGTGCATGTAAGACTGCACTTGTTTCCAACTGGTATGGGATTGGATTTCAGACCAAGTTAAAATAATTTAGGGAATTGTTAATTGATAGTATTATATGGTCTCCTGAACTGGTGACATGTACAGTCTAAATGAAAGAACCAGCAGACCACCTTATTGTAAGTTTATTACATTTAATTAAATTGAATATGAAACATTAATTAATACAAAAATCAAGACCACCCAACCCACGCCTGTCAAGACTTACAATACCAATGTGTAACATTAGAACATTTGAGGCAAATCCAGTGTGACTGTGGTCTTAAATCTAAACAAAGTGTGTCTCAATGAGAGAATGAATGCTAACTATGAAACAAGGGTTCATACACTAAGCGGGGATATCTTATTGATTGACAACCATCTTAAAAATGTATATGACAAAATAGTGGATTTTGAAAATGATCTTTAATTGGAGTTTTCCAAACTAACTACTCAATATTTAAATAAGGCTAATTGTGGAAGTCTGAGCGCAGGGCTTAATTTTGAATGTTTGTATTTGTTTTGTACCATGTTACAGTGCTGCCACCCACCCCGTGTATTTCCTTTTTAATGGTTAATAAATATTTAGGGGTTACAAAAATAACCTTCTCTGTCTTATTAGAGATTTTACCTTATAACTAAAAGCAGCAAGGTGACTTATTAGTATAGGACTTAAGTAAGAGGTTCTGCCTTGATGTGGCAGGTGAGCTAACACTTGAATGGCCATTGGAGCGATACTAAAAACCTCCAGTTATTTAAATGTGCATAGAGATTTGGGTTAGTGTGCAAGTAACTTTTTCCATTCGGTTTTTATTGCATGCGTTGGGACTGATGTGTACTATAGTAATTGCTGCTGCCCAGAAGCAGTGGGAGTTTGAGCGCAGGACTTATTTTTGTATGTTTATAAAGGCTAATTATGTGTTGTAGCCTTGTTTATTTTATTTTCTCGTGTTTACACTAAACACTGAATTACCGTATATACACGTGTATAAGTCGAGTGCAGTTTTGTGACCAACAATTGTGAAATATGCTATGCCTCGTGGGTAAGTCGAGGGTAAAACTTGGGGCTATGAAATTCTGTGATTTTGTATATTTTTATAATTATATACACACACACTCATACAAACACACACTCTGCATTATATATACACAAACTCATACAAACACACACTCATACAAACACACACTGCATTATATACACACACACGCTGTGTGTATATAATGCAGAGTGTGTGTGTTTGTGTGAATGCAGAGTGTGTATGTGTTTGTGTAGTGTGTGTGAACTGGGTGGGGGGGAGGGCATTTATTTTTTAAAATATTTTAATTTTTTTTTCATTTTATTATTTACTTAATATTTTTTTTGTCCCCCCCTCCCTGCTTGTTACCTGGTCAGGGAGGGGGGCTATCTTAATCCCTGGTGGTCCAGTGGATGGGCTGTGCAGGGGGGAGCTGGCAGCAAGCTGTTACTTACCTTTGTAGCAGCTCCGGTCAGCTCCCTTCACCTCCGTGCAGCTCCCCTGTCAGCTCCCAGTGTAAATCTCGCGGTCTGCGGCCAGGCCTGGAGTCCAAAACAGAACAGACTTTGTACTCTTCCTGTCCAGCAACCACCAAGGGAGGGGAAAGTGCAAAAGGAGTAGTGTATCTATTGCAGATAAGTAGCTTTAATAAAGAAACATGAAAAGTACGGGGTATTCAAAGGTTGGCAAGGAGGTCAAGAACATAAGACACTGGATTGATCCTGCTTGAAACACGGAAAGGGGCAATGTATCTAGGAGTGAACTTCATCGAGGGTACCCTGAGTCTAATGTGTCTAGTGGCAGCCAAACCCTGTCCCCTACTTGATAAGAATGTGCAGCACTACGTCTCTTATCAGCATGCTGCTTAAAACGTGAGGCAGCATCAGCTAAGGCAGAATTAACCAAATCCCATGTTTTCCTCATAGAGGTCAGATGCTCATCCAGAGTGGGGATATCTGTATCAGACAACACAGAAGGTAATGCAGGAGGGTGGAGACCATATACAACATAAAAAGGACTACGTTTGGAAGAGTCATGCATAGCGTTGTTCCGGGCAAATTCCGCCCAGAGCAGGAGGTCAACCCAATTATCCTGGGAAGCGTTAACGAAACAACGTAGAAATACTTCCAGCGTCTGCTTTGCCCTTTCAGCAGCCCCATTAGTATGGGGATTTGAGATGAAGAAAAAGACACGTCGATACCCAATTCTTTACAAAGAGATTTCCAGAATCGAGAAATGAACTGAGAACCTCTGTCAGAAACAGTGTTTTGAGGAATCCTATGTAACCTCACTATTTCCTTAATGAAAATCTGAGCAAGGTCTTGTGAGGAAGGTAATTTTTTAAGCGGGACAAAATGGGCCATTTTAGAGAATCAAACTATGACCATGAGTATCGTGTTATATCCCTTGGAGACAGGCAACTCCACAATGAAGTCCATGGCTATATGAGAGGCACAGGCAGAGGTTGTAACAACCCACATTTCAATTTGTGCGGAACCTTAGAGACAGCACAAGTCTGGCAAGTATTGACATAAGTGATAACATCAACCTTAAGAGAGGGCCACCAGAACTTTCTGGTTACCGCTGAATGGTTTTGTGTGTACCAGGATGCCCAGCTGTAACGTTATTATGAAACATAGCAAGAATTGCCCTTCTTTCAGTTTCAGGAACTAACAGAAGACCTGAAGATTTATTACTAGGTGCCTGAGGTTGAGCCGCGATTATGACACCAAGAAGAGGCGTGGACAAAGAAAAGACATTGGAAGCCAAAATACTGTCTCAAACTGTCTAGATAATGCATCAGCCTTTATGTTCCTAATATCAGGTCTATTGGTTATGATATAATTGAAACGAGAAAGAAACAGAGACCATCTAGCCTGTCTGGATGACATTCTTTTAGCCTCCTCGATATATTCCAGGTTTTTATGATCGGTTATGATGAACAGTCTTTGGATCCTTCCACTAGATGTCTACACTCCTTTAATGCCAATATGATAGCCAATAGCTTCCTGTTACCTATGTCATAATTTATTTCCGCTGGGGATAGCTTTTTAGAAAAGAAGCCACATGGGTGTAGGGGTTTGTCATGACTTTCTCTCTGGGACAGTATAGCACCAACCCCTGTTTCAGAGGCATCCACTTCTAATATAAAAGATCTATTGGGATCAGGATGAGCAAGTATAGGGGCTGAAGCAAATGAGGCCTTGAGTTGTTCAAATGCATTAATGGCTTCTCTTGGCCATGATGTACCTTTAGCCATCTTATGTGTCAAATTGGTGATCAGGGCTATTATCGTAGAAACGTTTTTAATAAATCTACGATAATAATTGGAAAACCCAGTGAACCTTTGGCTAGCCTTTAAACCATGAGGTAGAGGCCATTGCAACACCGCCTCCAGTTTCTAGAGATTTTTTTTCTGCTCAAATAGACATTTTTCTAGTTTACAATACAGACCATTCTTGAGTAAGGTCTGTAGAACTAGTTTAACTTGTGCATGGTGAATGTCT